CTTATAAGGTTGAATTAAATCGCCGTTCATTACCCTGTTCATAGGAAACTGCAATATTAGTCCAAATGCATTGAATATTGTACATCATAGGAACTAAAGTAGTTGCAGTTACGGCTACGTTTGATCTTCTAACACTTGTGTAAAGGTTTAGAATATAATGTACTGCACTAAATGTGTCAATTTCTTATGTAAATATTCAAAAAAATCAAAAACTTTCAAAGAATAAAACACCGTAAACCCTATATGCACGTATGATATGATATTGAACAAGGCTGAATGTAGATACGGATGTCAGTTTCATGAAAAACTATCTGAACTATCTGCAAAATATACATCATAATACTGACAGTGTAATCGGAAGGATTGGGCGATTGTGTTTACTCTTGTTCAACCGACCTTCACCTCAAAGAAATTGCCTAATATGTACAACAATGTTGACGTAAGACATAACTACCGTTGACCGATTTCATACAAAATGGCGGCTTTGCTGACAGGATACACAGGATTTTGCGAGGACCCTTTCGCTGATTCAGGGATCGTTTGTACATAAATATGAGATATAAGTTATCAGAATGATTCTGACTATCTGTGTATTGTTATATGTTTTTATCCTTTTCATTAGAACTAAGAGGAGAACCAGAAATGCAGATAATTACCGTTGTCGTTCTGTGTGATTTTGCGTCAGTCATGGCGTCACATTTCAAAACATACAGCAAACAACGCTGTGAATCGCGATTTTGTACTGTGTCAAAAATGGCGACATTTTCGATGAAGCCTATTTCGAAAGGTCACTTTCAGCACTTGAGCTTTGTCTAAAATAATAGTGGATGGTATCAGGAAACAGGAAATTTCCAGCAGAATTCGAAACTGTGAAGTGTATTTATTTGTGTGCGTGGGATGTTGTGATTTTTTTAGGACTTAAAAGTGAGGGTTGAAGGGGAAGGACATATAATTATATGTCCCTGTGGCACCCAGGTTTGAGAAAAAAACAGACTGCCTGGCTGTTGTGACACGCTTGTGGGTCTACCTTAGCGGACAGTGTCATGACCTTGTTCTCCTATGTCACGGATAGCCCTGAGACACATGGCGTCCACTCCCTCACAAAGTAAAGGTTTTCGGTTCCTTGACCATTTGTATTTGTAAGCCAAAATCATACCAAAGGTGTACATGTACCAAGACCTAGTAATATCTTGTTCATGTTTAAATGTTTTAATTTCGTGGATGAGATAGGTTCATTTGATCTCTGCAACCGACAAATATATTCTTTATGGACACGTTTGTTGAGTTTGTTTCTGTTACAATGTGTTGAGACGGTCCCTGAAACAGCTTCAGCTTTATCTGTTGACACTTCGTGCTTATCAGGAGAGACATTTCGCAAAAGTGACCTACTTAAAACTTGAGTTGCCTGTGACGTAATAATTCACTTGAGAACAAACACGCACACTCACACAGGCACGTACTGCCACAAATCAGCCAAGTGTAATGTGACTCTGTTAAACAAGCTAAAGGTTAGAGGAGATTTTGCCATAGTGTTAAATTATGAAGAACAACATTAAATCTCAGTGAATGACAAGCATACAGCAACGATATTGAGCGTAATCCCGTGTGTGTGCGTGTATGTGTGTGCGTGGGTTGTGTTAGAGGGAGATAGTGGGGGAGAGAGATATGTATTTAGAGAGAGAAAGGGAGAGACAGACGGAGGAAGAGCGAGAGAGACAGAGAGAGAGAGAGAGAGAGAGAGAGAGAGAGAGAGAGAGAGTTGTACAACATGTGAACTTGGACAGACGGAGGAAGAGAGACAGAGAGAAAGAGAGAGAGAGAGAGAGAGAGACAGAGAGACAGAGAGACACAGAGAGAGAGAGAGAGAGAGAGAGAGAGAGAGAGAGAGAGAGAGAGAGAGAGAGAGAGAGAGAGAGAGAGAGAGAGAGAGAGTTGTACAACATGTGAACTTGGAACCTAAACCTGACAAACAAACCAGTAACGGACATAGAAGGTATAAGGAATTTGCCGCTGAAACTTAAACCGTGTTCCCGATTTCTATGTCACCTTGCGGGGCGGTGGGGTAGCCTAGTGGTTAAAGCGTTGGCTCGTCACGCCGAAGACCCGGGTTCTAATCCCCACATGGACACAATGTGTGAACCCCATTTCTGGTGTTCCCCCGCCGTGATGTAGCTGGAATATTGCTAAAAGCGGCGTAAACCCCAACTCAGTCAGTCAGTATGTCACCTTGCGCAGCCATTTTGTCCTTAGCTGAGTTTTCACACATCTCTGTTTCTGGATCTCAAACCAACTGTTTGGTAGCAGTCTTTGTTGTCTACAAGTGAGAGGACAAGTCCCCTATCTTCAGGGAAACCAACCTCAGAGTATTACGGACAAAATTAAAGGCAAATATGACAACCTCACCTTCTTACGCTAAGCCCAACCTTTAGTACTGCTGCCACCCGCCATGTTTGTCACGTGCAGACATGTCATCAGGGATTTTCCGTACGTAATTTATCACACCTGTCAGACACTTACCGGTTCCCTTTACAAGTTATCGAGGCATCATGACCTCTCCAAATCTGGACTGGCGACCCAAGTATGTGTAACTAAAAGTTGGTTTTATTGCATGTAACATACTGATACCTACTGGGCTGTCCCACTTCTTGAGCATTTGATCGCGGTTGTAAGGTTTATATTTTCTCAAATATATCGAGAAGTGTTTCCAGACATGATTCAGGTAAATGCTTCAAAGAGCTGATAGTGAATATTATCAGCCCCTGTTGTTGTATCATGAATTTGCTGAAGGGCTGTATATATCTCATGTAATGAAAATACTAAGACCATATCATTTTGTTTTTGTGGAAGTTTAAAAAGATGGATGGATGGGATATTGTCAATTAACTAAATGCATAAACAATGTGTTTCGTGATCTATTTATAGCATATTAGTATCTATAAGTTGATCAATTACCTCACATGCAACTATATATGGAACACATGCAAATATGTGTGGAAAAAAGTATATATATGCTTAGATTGTTATATATATTTTCTTTGCAAAGTGACACAGTGGCAAATTCAACACGGGGCAATGGGTTAGTCTAGTGGTTAAAGCGTTCGCTCGTCATGCCGAAGACCCGGGTTCGAATCCCCACATGAGTACAATGAGTGAAGCCCATTTCTGGTGTCCCCCGCCGTGATATTGTTGGAATATTGTTAAAAGCGGCGTAAAACCAAACTCAGTCAGTCAGTCAGTCAAATTCAACACACTTATGACATATATATAAACTGTATGTCCTCCATAAGCAGTTATCACCTCTGTCGAAATCAAACTATTAAACCATATATTGCCCTAAACACAAACGTTAATATCTGATATTAGATATGATGACATTACCTCAGATACCACTCACTGATTGTGATAAGCATTTAAATGTTTTCTTTTTTTATATTATATTTGTTGAATATTGGGGTGGTGTGGAGTGTCTGCTCATCACACTGAAGACCCGGGTTCGATTCCCCAAATGGGTACAATGTGTGAAGCCCATTTGTGTCCCCCGCCGTGATATTGCTGGAATATTGCTAAAACGAGGCGTGAATAAATAAATGGTATATCATGGTGTAAACTCTCAACGTCGAAAATGAAGAAACGTAATGCCCTCAATAAAACCATCTTCACTCACTCACTTATGATGATGTATCATGGTGTAAACTCTCATCGTCGAATATGAAGAGATGTAATGCCCTCAAGAAAACCATCTTCACTCACTCACTTATGATGATGTATCATGGTGTAAACTCTCAACGTCGAATATGAAGAGATGTAATGCCCTCAAGAAAACCATCTTCACTCACTCACTTATGATGATGTATCATGGTGTAAACTCTCAACGTCGAATATGAAGAGATGTAATGCCCTCAATAAAACCATCTTCACTCACTCACTTATGATGATGTATCATGGTGTAAACTCTCAACGTCGAATATGAAGAGACGTAATGCCCTCAAGAAAACCATCTTCACTCACTCACTTATGATGATGTATCATGGTGTAAACTCTCAACGTCGAATATGAAGAGGCGTTATGCCCTCAAGAAAACCATCTTCACTCACTCGCTTAAGATGACATATCATGGTGTAAACTCTCAACGTCGAATATGAAGAGACGTAATGCCATCAAGAAAACCATCTTCACTCGCTCACTTATGATGATATATCATGGTGTAAACTCTCAACGTCGAATATGAAGAGACGTAATGCCCTCAAGAAAACCATCTTCACTCACTCACTTATGATGATATATCATGGTGTAAACTCTCAACGTCGAATATGAAGAGACGTAATGCCCTCAAGAAAACCATCTTCACTCACTCACTTATGATGATATATCATGGTGTAAACTCTCAAAATCGAATATGAAGAGTTGCCCTCAAGAAAACCATCTTCACTCACTCACTCACTTATGATGATATGTCATGGTGTAAACTCTCAACGTCGAATATAAAGAGACGTAATGCCCTCAAGAAAACCATCGCAACTGTGAAGAGCAACCTCCTCGTGGCGGGTGCTGGATAATGCTAATGGCTCTTCCCTCGAGGAGACCCGAGAAAGAATAGGTCCTCAGCTCCCCATTGCTGCTCGTAATAGGCGATCAAATTTGGCCACGTGTTTACCTTTGGTTGCGTCCCTGGGTGGGCAGATATGGAATCTGGTCGTTGAAGATACAGGAGCTGGCAATATTCAAGCACACTTTGCCTTGACCGGTGATAGGATAGGCCCAATGCTATCAATCGGCTGGTCACGCCATGGCCTGTTCATGGCATTTTTACATGGATTGTGATTTTTTATAACACATTCGGTTTTGTTAAAAATGTTTGAAATATTTCTGTCAATATGTGAATTTGCTTACAGCCCAATGAACCAGACGTGACGAGCTGGGTAACCCTAATTAAACTCACAGTCGTTCAGTCACACATGAGACCATCCATCCATAAGGCACAAAGCATAAAAACATCTTTATTCCATTTTCAAGCCAATGTTTAAAATAAAGACATGGACATTGTTTCATAATCCTGTAACGCTTGTAAAACATTTTATGTCTTTCTCAGTTGTAATATTGTTTACTATAGTTACACCGTGTCCTTGGAACAATAAACAAAAGCATTGAGTGTCATCTATAAGACAAATCGAATTGTTGGACAATTAACAGTTATGAGCGTGGTATCTTGAAATATATCACGCTATGTAAATTTCCCTGAGTTCAACATCTCCTGCCACTGTGAGAGCGTTCACTGGTTTCGGTTTGGGGATCTTCAGAGTGAACACCAAATTGTCATCAACAGACACCTGAAATTATTAATTCAATCAATTTTTAATCTGCCAACTTTAAAGTGAAATAACACATGTCATATTTGATTAGTTGCAGCCAAATATCACAGTATAAAAGCTCAAATAAATGTTAACATATATAGCTCGTAAACAGTTCAATAAGTGAAAGCTTCCGTTCCCATTTGGGCGTTGTCTTCAATGTCTGCTGGTGCCACCATGAGCCCAAAATTAGCAGGACCAAATTAGAGTTTTCTGGCTCAAAGTACAGCTTCGCGTAAACGATTACGAACGGTTTGCGCCGACATTCTCCTCATTTCAGTCGCTGTGACAGTTCGACTCCGCGAATGATATACTGGGATGTACCTATTCTGTGCTGCAGTGGTAATACGAGGTCTACAACTTTGAGGCCGATCTTGCGTAGAATTGGATTGCTGGTATCGAGCCCTTAAAGGACTGATAGTTCTGTGGTGAACATTGAGGTGACGTGTAACGGCAGATTGCGACCCCCCCAGCCTCCAGACGTCCAATGACAATGTTTCCATTTACAACAGTGAGTTGCGTCATAACGATATTCTTTCATTTACCTAAACAGTGTCAATGACAGTCTCAAAACAAGACGGCCTTTTATAGGCAATGCCCCTGCTCATAATTCCTCAGAACTGCGCGTGCGTATTGCGAACCACGTTTTTCTGCATGACATTTTCATGCAAGTTGACTATTTTGAAAGTAGACTTTCATTAAAGTTTCCTAAGGAGCGTTTCTTGCACTGTGCATTTGTTCCATGTACACAAGACTGCGTTTTAATGGCGAAATCATAACAATCAAACAATAATTTTGAAAATTATTTAAAATTCCATGCATCAATATCACCTATGTGTTTCTTGTTTTTGAGAGTACATGTTCACTTTCAAAGATTACAAATAACTTACAATAGTCATACATTTATTACTTATTGTTTTTTCCATTCATTTGTTGTATGAAGAAGAATAGAAATGATGGACTATGTCCATGCTCTTTTCTAACAAAACATCCCATAACTTTCAGAATCATTGCTCAAACACTTGATATTGTATATTATACTGGTCTAAAAACTGTACTAAATGTGCTCATAACATTAGTAGATATTACTGATTTGCTTGGTCGTATTGAATACGTTATGACATTGGCTCTTGTTTTGGTGAAAGGTAAGTCACATATTAGGTTGAGTGCGTGAGGTTTTACGCTGCTATGAGCAATATTCCAGCAATATCACGGTGAAGTGGGCTTCACACATTGTACCCATGTGTGGAACCCGTGTGTACGGTGTGACGAGCAAACGCTTTAACCACTAGACTAACCCACCGCTCCCCAGTCGTATGGAGGCGGTCTGTAAATTATCGAGTCTGGACCAGATAATCCTGTAAAATCAACAGCATGAGCATCGGTCAACGCAACTTGGATACGATGTCAACTAAGTCAGCGAGCCTGACCACCCGATCCCGTTAGTCGCCTCTTACGACAAGCATGGATTACTGAAGACCAATTCTAGCCCGGATCTTGACGGGTCCTGGTGATAGTGTACCTGAAAGTCATTCCACTGTAACACTACTGCCAGCTCGAATGTCGTCCATGCTAGGTCAGGACATCCTTCTGCTGCTTCCCATTTTGATTTGGCTGGTGGCCTGTGACTGGCAAAAGTCATGAAGTTGAGGTTTTTGCCGTCCTTAGATTCTACATAGATGTCTAAAGGGGTCATTTCGTCTTTTTTCAGAGTGATGCCAAACTTAAGAAATTCGAAGAGTTATAATTCAATTTAGATTCAGAATGGATGTTTTTGCTAAGATTATATATTTCAATGAAATGTCGGACACAAAATCGAAAAGGAATTACTCAATCTTGAATGATGTGTTTAGTTTGTTTTTGTTGACCGCCACACTAGGCACATTCAGCCATGTAGCGGCGGTTTGTAAATAATCGGATCTGGACCAGACGATCCAGTGATCAACATCATGAGCATCAATCTACGATACTGAGATACGATGACATGTGTCAACCACATCAGCGAGCCTGACCACCTGATCCTGTTAGTCGCCTCACGACAAGAATGGGTTGCTGAAGACTAATTTTAACCCGGATCTATAGAGGTATATAAGTTTTAAGGGTCAACCCAGTGATTGATACAATAAACAACTTTTTCATGGGGATATGTTGATGTGTTACTGACAAACAAAGGATCAATATCACGCCAAAAAGGGGGATTCGAACCGACCCAAATCGGATTATACCGCCAGTTATCACCACCAGTTCTACACTGCAGAATATTTGACGTTGAACCCGACGAATGTATTTAAAACATTATTTGATATTAAAATTTTTTTTTTATAACAAATTAGCTCGGGGCTGTCTGGTATTACTAGTAAACATATTCTCTCTAATGGACAAGGTTTTGTTTCATTCGTTGTGAGAAAATGTATGTCTCAAAATTAATAAACCTACATGCAGCATTAGAGACCACTGTAGGAGGGATTGGCAGATGTACAAACCATTTCGAATATCGGAATGTTGATAACAGGAATGTCATTTTGTCCCGGAGTTTCAAACTTCTTCTCAGAGGAACCTTTCTCTGGAGACAGAAAATGAATATTGCCAAGGGACTGGTTTGGTTTACGTGTGTTAGGGCGATGGACTACTCACTCACTCCAATATGCCGGCACTCACTCACTCACTCACTCATATTCCAGATCCCGTCACTCACTCACTCATTCATATTGCAGATACGGCACACATTCATTCATTCACTCACTCACTCACTCTCACACTCATATTCCAGATACCGGCACTCACTCACTCCAGATACCGACACTCACTCACTCACTCACTCACTGATATTCCAGATACCGGCACTCACACAGTCGTATTCCAGATACCGTCACTCACTCACTCATTCATATTGCAGATACGGCACTCACTCATTCATTCACTCACTCACTCACTCTCACACTCATATTCCAGATACCGGCACTCACTCATTCACTCAATCAATCAATCAATCATATTCCAGATACCGACACTCACTCACTCACTCAGTAATATTTCAGCAACCAGCTTTGTGGCAGGGGTATGCAAATAATCGAGTTAGGACCAGACAATTCAGTGATCACTATGAGCATCGATCTACGCAACTGACATACGATGACATGTGTCAGCCAAGTCAGCGAGTCGGACCACCCAATTCTATCCCGGACCTTCACGGGTCTAATGCCATGCTTGTCGTAAGAGCGACTAACGGGATCTGGGGTCAGGCTCACTGACATGGTTGATACATGTCATCGTATCCCAATTGCATAGATCGATGCTCAACTGTTCATCAATGGATTGTCTAGCCCAGAGGCGACTGCCGCCATGTAGCTGGAATATTGCTAAATGCGGCGTTAAATGACAACAATGAAAATTAAAAACATATGACCAATCAACAGATATATTTTGCTTAAAATACATGAAAAGAAATAGAATGCAGAACAATAAACTGCAGAACAGCATACATTCCATTGAAACAGTGATACATATCATGTGTACTCACCACATTGTTTTCATTGCCCATAGTATTGCAGTGACAAGAATATATCCTTGCTGTTTGATGAATGAAGCGGAAAAAGCCAGGTACACAGTATCTTTTGTCAGTCTTGGCAGTTCCTACAATATTGGAATACCAAACCTTGTGGCTCGGTCAAAAAGCAAACTTTACATGCTTTCCTACAGTTTCGGCAGTTCCTAAAACATTTGAATATCGGCTGGGGACAAAAGCAAACTTTATAGATTTCCCCACAGCAAACTTAATAAGGAGTTGAGCTGAATTGAGTTTTACGTCGCATCGCCATTGTTTCAGCCATATATCGACGAGACCAAGTCTGCTCATATACATATTTGAGTTACAAAGTTTAAACGGGTTTCTTGTGTCTTCATTACACAATTATCAACAAAGCCATAATTAATATAAACTGGTTATTCCTTCACAGAACTGAGCAAGTCGGTCAACGAGAATAGACAGTATATGTCTTAAAGAATTTGAGTTGAGTTAGGCTTTACGTCACATCGGGATTACTCCAGCCATATAGTGACGAGATCAAGTCTGCATTCATAAACATTTTAAGGTACAAAGGCCAAATGAGTTTGATTTGTTTAAAACCTATACATTCATTACATTATTATTTAGAAACAGAAAATGTCATTACACCAAATCCCCCCAAAAGAAGATTTGTTGCTTCATCAGGTGAATCCCTTGCATATGAAAAGTCCACACAGTCAAGCAGAATATGCTTGGTGGTTAACACTTTATCGCAAGAGATACACACAGGAGATCATCTCCATAGACAAGAGTCATCAGAAGATGACAAACGACCCCGGCCCCCACAAACAAAAATCATCTGACAGTTACTTAAAGTCCAACTCGATGGGAGAATGTCTCTCTTATCTGTCCATCCGCATACAAGAGTAGTTACTGAGCAGTGAAACCAATTATAGGGAACTGGGGGTCGTAACTTTGTGCTTCTATGTCAGGTTGACACCAACATCAACGTCAAAGGAAAAACACAAAGTTTAAGAATCTGTAACAGCAAACTACAGCAGTTGACGACCTGGACCCAGTTGTATCAACGCGTAATTATGTAATCATCAATTAAACACTAATCATTGATTAAATTCTTAATGTTTGATTAGTTAATGAAGCGTTTAAATACGGTTGTATAAACCCTTATGTAAACACCCATTAACTAAGTATGCCTCTAATAAAGGTCCCGTCATTAAACCATGATTAACTTTGGGGAATCCCCCAATTATTATTAATGATGCATTGTAGGTAAACACTCATCTATAGTCTGAATAATGACTGCCCTCAGAAATCGCAGTAAAAACTTTGAAAGTTGTGAAATACAGGCCTAGCTGAAGATAATATCCACGTATGATATATTGAACAAAACTAAATGTAGATACTGAAGTTAGTTTCATGAAAAAGTATCTGAACACATCAAAATACACATCATAATACTGACAGTGTAATCGGAAGGATAGGGCGATTGTGTTTACTCTTGTTCAGCCGACCTTCACCTCAAAGAAATTGCCTAATATGGGCAACAAGGTTGACGTATGACATCACTATCGCTGACCGATTTCTTACAAAATGGCGACTTCGCTGACAAGGGTACACAGGATTTGGCGAGGACTCGTCCCTTAATTCAGGGATCATTTGTACATAAATATGTGATGTAAGTAATCAGAATTATTCTGACTCTCTGTGTCTTGTTATATGTTTTTATAGTTTTCATTGGATAAATAAGAGAAGAAGCCAGAAATGCTGATAATTACTGTTGTCGTTCTGCGTTATTTTGCATCAGTCATGGCGTCACGCTGCACGGAAACCTTGATAAATTCTTATGAATTATCAAATCATTGCATTGTATCTGTTTTTAATTTCCTGTTTCTTGGCACGATACTCTTTCCATGCATATTCTAAAGATATTGAGCCATTGCAAGCATAGAATGGACGGCTGGGTGTCGGACAATTCCAGAAAATGCTACGCAGTGTAAAATCGGATTTTTTCTTTGTTTACATTCCAAACAAGTGCAATCTTTCGAGTACAATGTTCGTTTTCACCCCAATATCTTTCGTTTCATTTCATCTAGACAGTTGGTATTCGTGACAAAGACCATTTGTAATTTGATTCCAAAATGTATAGGGAATTCAGTGGTGTATTTCTCGCAGCTGAATATGAAATATACGTGATGTAATTGGTGTCTCAATACCGGCCTTCGCGAAACGTGATTTTGTAAACAGTATCCAATATGGCGGAAAACGCACTTCGGCGTTTGTGTAAGTGTATTTTCGAAAACATCCCAACCGATTCTAGGTTCATCGGCAACGTTTCAGAATTATCATTAGTGATTTTATGAAAAACTGATATCAGTGATCATTACTATGCTATTTTTGAAATTCTATATTCCCAATAATTGTCAAATTTTCACATTTCAAAACAAATAAGCAAATAACACTGTGAATCGCGATTACATATTGTGTCAAAAATGGCTACACGACGAAGTCTATTTTGAAAGGTTATTTTAAGCACTTTAGTTTTGTCTGATTTAATAGTGGATGGTATCAAGAAACAGGCAATTTCCCGCAGAACTCAAAACTGTGAAGTATATTTGTATATAAATATGTGATATATGTAGAATTTTATTGAACTTCAAAGTGAGGGTTAAAGAGGAAGGACATATATGTCCCTGTGGCACCCGGTGGGGGTTAATTAATCCGTTCACGAAAATGTTTCTCTTTTTTCCGACGTCCAAGTTGATGGAACATTATGTCGTCTGCTATGTTGATACAGCTAATGACGAGTTAATAATACCCCCAAACCTTCATTAGCTTAATGATGGATTAATGAAGGGATTCCTTTATTAAGGATTTAATGCAACTGAAGATAATCAGTGATTAACTAATCATAGTTTAATTAACGATTAAAGCTTTATTACAGTTTGATACAACCGGGTCCTGGTTTCCGTTTGTTCACAGTTTCATGAAAGATTACCTAGTAGGGTGAGGCTGACAAAATCCCACCCAGACAAAATCTCATAGCACAAAATGTCTTTGGACAAAATTCCACACCATATT